CTCAGCGGTTGAGCGTCCACCTAGGAACCAGGCGATCAGGGTTCGATTCCCGGTCAGGGCACATGCCCGGGTTGTGGGCTCGATCAATGACTCTCTCATCATTGATATTTCTATCTCTCTCTCTCCCTGTCCTTTTCTCTCTCTGAAATCAATAAAGATATATTTAAAAAAATTAAAAAATTAAAAAAAAAAGATAATAACTTTAGAAGAGTCTAGGTCAGCTGGTTTGTTAAATGCCCCGTGCTTTTAGTGGCCACGCAGAATATTAAAAGAAAATCATGACTTACTTATTTTATCATATCCTTTACTTTTATTGGCTGATATTTTAGGTATCACTATGAACTCATGGATTTTTTATTTAATATATTGTAATCATTTATAGTCATTTCCCTTGATGTCCAATTGATACAGATTTGGGCAGTGAGGACTGACAGGGAATTTCTTGTAGGTATAACTGCTCTAGATTTAGATCTTGCCTAAATCACTTTTTGAGGATGAAATGATATGGTTTGTATAAATATGTTACAAAATGTGCAGTAGCAATATACACCTTTGCCACAGACTACATTATGAAATGTAAAGATGTAGGTATTCTATTCATGGAATTCTGATTTTACTCTAACTGAGGAAACATTTTTTTTCATTTAAGTTCTGTGAAATCAGAAATTCCATCTATTGTCATCTGAATGCAGCACATGGTGAGTAATAAAAATTTAATTTTTGAGTGAATAAATTAGTAAGTCTTTAGAAATGAAGAGTAAAGAAATTGAGGCATGTAGTTAGTGACTATAATTGCCCTAGTTGCCTGTAACTGAAATGTTCCTTGGGATGTGGGACTTTTGGTACTAAAACCAGGACAGTCTTGGGAAACTGGAATTACTTTTTTACCCGATTTGCAAGTATTTGAACATTACTTTCCTCTCTTATGCTATTTTAAGAAAGCCATTCGAGCTTTCCTAATTAAATATCTTCAACTTGAGCAACACCTTTGTAGAAAAGTGGTTGAAGCAGAAGGCTTAATCCAAGGCAACTGAAGAGCTGGGTCAAAGTTTCTTGAATATTCTGGGAACATGCTGTAAGGACCAGAAAACCCCAAATCTCCAGCAACTGAATGTCAGACATTTCCTGCATACCCTCTCCTACAATGGTGCTATTGAGAGTTACTTGAAACAAACATGAAAAATTATTTTCTATACTCTCTGCCCAAAAAATGACAGTTCATAATTTTCCTCATTTCCCAGGAGTCAAGATCTTCTGCTTTAGCTGTTCATAATTCTCTCTGAGAGGGAAGGTGTAAAAATGACACTGTGTCAAAAAGTGCAAGACTTGTACACTGAAAACTATAAAATATTGCCAAAAGAAGTGAAAAAATCCAAAGAAATGGAAAAACAACTCATGTTCATGAATCAGAAGGCTTTATATAGTTGCAATGGCAATACTTCCCCCCCAAATTGATCTACAAGTTCAACACAAGCCTTATAAATATATCAGTTAAATATTTTTCAGGAATTGACAAGCACATCTTAAAATTCATATGGAACTTCAAGGGGCACAGACTAGCAGAAACAATCTTGAAAAATAAGAATAAACTTGTAGAGTCAATTTCCCAATTTCAAACTTTCTCCAAAGCTACAGTAATCAAGACAGATGATGGGAGAAAATCAAGGATCCAGAAATAAATCCTTATATTTATGGTGAATTAATTATGACAAGATATCAAGGTAATTCATTGGAGGAAAAAGCAATCTTTTCAATAAATGGTGATGAGAAAACTGAATATCCATTTGTAAAAGAATGTAAACCTGACATCATATTAAAACCCTCATACCATTTAAAAAATTCAAAATAAATCATACACCAAAATGTAATAACTAAAACTATAAAAATCTTGAGAGAAAGTATATGTGCAAATATTTTGACCTTGTGTTAAGCAATTTTCTTTTAGATATAACAACCAAAGCACAAGTGAATTAAAAAATAGATATATCAGACTTCATCAAAATTAACAATTTTTGTGTATCAATGAACACTATCAAGAGAGTAAAAGTCAAACCATGAAATGGGAGAAAATAATTGAAAATCATGTATTTGACAAGGGCTTGTATTCAGACATATATAGCATTCTTACAACTTATCAATGAAAGGCATGACTCAATAAAATATTGGCAAAAGATTTAACTAGATATTTCCCCAAAGAAGATATGCAAGTAGATAATAACCACATGAAAAGATATTCAACATCATTAGATATTAGGGGATGCAAATCAAAAGCAAAATGAAAAACTACTTCACATGCACTGAGGTATAAGAAAGACAAACATTAACAAGTTTTGGAAGGAAGTGGAGGAAACTGGAACCCTCATATATTTTGGTGTTGCTCCTAAGGGTAATGGGAGACCATTTGGAGGATTTTTATGCAAGTGGCACATGCTCAAATTTTTGTTTTGAGAATGTAACTCTGAATTTTATGTGGACAACTATTGGAAGAGGGAAAAGAATAGATAGGTGACCTGTTAGGAGGATATTGCAGTCCAGCCAAGGAGAGATGTCAGCTGAAATCAAGGAGAAGGCGATAGAGATGGTGTCAATAAGACCAATTTGTGAGCTATTGAAAAGGAAAATGTAGCTTGATTTAGCAATGGATTGGTTTGAGGCAAAATAGGGTAGGGGCAGGATAACATCAAAGATGCTTCAGGTCCCTGATGGTCCAGGTGTAAGGAGATAGATGCAGATGGAGATGGGAAACCCTGAAGAAGATTAGGCTGGTGAAAAAAATGATGTTTGTTTATGGCCATATTAGGTTTCTGAGATATCTAAGTAGAGGTGTGAAATAGGCGATTGGAAAGTAGTGGTCTCAGGTTCATAGGTAATTCAGTGCTAAAGAAAAACATTTGGCCATTATTTTTTTCTGCAGGACACATTGAAATCCTTGTGGCCAAGATTGCCTATGAGGAGGGTATAAATTAGAATAGAAATGTTTTCAGAATCAAGACAGATAGCCTAGTTGAAATGTAAAGGAGATAGATGAAGAAAGCTCAGCCAGAGGGATAGCATGAATTCCAGGGGATGCTGAGACATAGGAGTCAGGGACACAAGAGGAGTATTTAAAATGGAGGCAGGAACCACAGGGTCCAATACTGCGAAGAGGACCAAAAGATCTTTATCATTGGAGGTCATTGGAGGCTTACGAGAGAAATCTTTTGGTGGAAAAATGAAGATAAAATCCATTTTTGAGTGTGTAGAGGAAGAGAGGGAGGAATCAAATATATGGTATTAATAATTCATAATGAGAGTTAGCATGTTGCAACTAAAGTAGAAAGTGCTGCTGAGAACATGGGACTAATTATAATAGAGATTGTAAAAGCAATAATATAAATTTATTGAGAAGTCATGAGGGTTGAGAAACAAAGTACAGGTGGAAGGATTAACCTTAAAAAGTAGGAAACACATTTTGTCTGTGGTAATAAGATGAAGTGAGGAGAGAGTGAACCAGATGTCATATAGCTGGTGTTTTTGAGAGCACAAAGTTGACCTTGTTTCATCCTGCTGACTTGTATTTTCTCTGTGGAGAAGTTGGTAGGAACACTTGCTGAGAAAAGGCAGGAGTTAGAAGGACAAGACGTTTGAGGAGGAGAGAGCTTGGGAAGTAGCAGTTGTAGAAGGCGAATAAGAAAGTGAATGAGGGGAATGCAGAAGGCTTGCCAGGCGGGGTGCTGGGCACACTGGGGGTGGGGAAAGTTGAAGAGGCTGAAGCCCTTGTCCAATTTATATGAATCCCATGAGTCTCCCTTTCTTCATCTACAAAAGGAAACGTAATACTTACCTTCAAGTGCAGATGTGAAGAGTATGTGAACAAAAAATATGAAAAAAGGTTTGGTAGGACCAAACATAGAAATGCTTGGTAAGACCCACCCTGCCAGGATCTCTCCTCTGCCCTCTGTAATTGTCCTCCCTAATTTTCTCGTGTGTGTATGTGCTGATAATATCAGGAATGCTTGAAGGCTTTTAAAGAAAGTCAAATCCAACTTAATACTTATTTCACTAACTTTTATGACTATAGGTGCTATGTATTTGTTGTTCTTTACACAGAGGGTAGCGTGGAGAGACCTGGGATAAAGGACGGTGCTGTGACTGTGCAGTTTCAGCATCACGGCTTCAGATCATTAGCTTCTGCTTGTTGAGCTGACCGTTGCTGTTCTCTGTGAAGAAGTGTTTTTTGTCTTCTCACCAAGAAAAGGAAGAACCACACGCACCATGTCATATAGAGTAGGTGTTCCACACGTGTGGGGTGTTAGACGATAGTTATGTGGAAGGGTCAGAAACACAGTGAGTAAAAGTAGAGGAGACCTCCATTGATAACAGGAAAATGTCCTTGGGTGAGTCTAGGAGTAAACCAAGTGTGGCTTATCTTAGGGAATCCTCTGCTATACACCCGAGTTGCCTAGTGCGCTAGGCATGAAAGCTCAATAGGATCAGTTAGTGAAGTGCTCTGGGTGCAATATATGATCTTTAAAAAATTTTTAATTTATTTAAAAAAACATATCTTTATTAATTTTAGGGAGAGTAAGGGAGAAGAATAGAGAGGTAGAAACATCAATGAGAAAGAAACATCAATTGGTGGCTGCCTCCTGCACACCCTCTACTGGGGACTGAGCCCACGACCCTGGCATGTGCCCTGACCAGGACTTGAACTGGTGACCTCTTGGTTCATGGCTCGACCCTAAACCACTGAGCAACACCGGCCAGGCCCTCTGTCTTGTTTACGTCATTGTTATTCGGGGGTTTCCTGACACATGCAGAGAAATATAACTGGTCCCCACAACTCACCTTCCACAGAAGCAGGGATTTCTGCCCACCTTGTGTCCCACAGACATCCCCTGATATCCAGTCATCTTTTGGAGCTGACAAGGATGACAAAGGAGCACAAATGAAAGAGGCATGAATGGACAGACTTCCAGAAGGGGGAACAAAGGTATAAGGGTAAGTCAGGAGATCCTTACCAGAGGGCAGAGTCTGGAAGGACAGAATGGGGCTCCACTCGCCCCACAGATCCTCTTCTTTCTCCATTCGGCAGCAGCCAGACACCTCATAGCCAGTGGCTAGCTCTAGGTCCTGGATCTCAACAGGGGTCAGGGATATGGTGACAATAGCATCTGTAGCTGCCCCTCATGCTGATGCAGTGGGTGGAATTGTGGCATTGGAGTCATCGCGAGTTGAACTCATCTGCATCTGCAGACATAAAAAAGAGGGTCAGTCCCTTATCCCAGCACTGCTAATGCCTCCCTTCTGCTCGTCAGCTCCAGCCTTACTACCCTTCACCACCTTCCTCAAGCTCAGGTACCAAGGAGTGCATCACAGTTGAAATGGAAACCGTTTTGTGGTGGCACTTTCTAGTTCTCCAACCATCTCAGGGCAGAGGTTGGCAAANAAAAAAACATATCTTTATTAATTTTAGGGAGAGTAAGGGAGAAGAATAGAGAGGTAGAAACATCAATGAGAAAGAAACATCAATTGGTGGCTGCCTCCTGCACACCCCCTACTGGGGACTGAGCCCACGACCCTGGCATGTGCCCTGACCAGGACTTGAACTGGTGACCTCTTGGTTCATGGCTCGACCCTAAACCACTGAGCAACACCGGCCAGGCCCTCTGTCTTGTTTACGTCATTGTTATTCGGGGGTTTCCTGACACATGCAGAGAAATATAACTGGTCCCCACAACTCACCTTCCACAGAAGCAGGGATTTCTGCCCACCTTGTGTCCCACAGACATCCCCTGATATCCAGTCATCTTTTGGAGCTGACAAGGATGACAAAGGAGCACAAATGAAAGAGGCATGAATGGACAGACTTCCAGAAGGGGGAACAAAGGTATAAGGGTAAGTCAGGAGATCCTTACCAGAGGGCAGAGTCTGGAAGGACAGAATGGGGCTCCACTCGCCCCACAGATCCTCTTCTTTCTCCATTCGGCAGCAGCCAGACACCTCATAGCCAGTGGCTAGCTCTAGGTCCTGGATCTCAACAGGGGTCAGGGATATGGTGACAATAGCATCTGTAGCTGCCCCTCATGCTGATGCAGTGGGTGGAATTGTGGCATTGGAGTCATCGCGAGTTGAACTCATCTGCATCTGCAGACATAAAAAAGAGGGTCAGTCCCTTATCCCAGCACTGCTAATGCCTCCCTTCTGCTCGTCAGCTCCAGCCTTACTACCCTTCACCACCTTCCTCAAGCTCAGGTACCAAGGAGTGCATCACAGTTGAAATGGAAACCGTTTTGTGGTGGCACTTTCTAGTTCTCCAACCATCTCAGGGCAGAGGTTGGCAAACGGCCCTCAGGCCAAACCCACCTGCTGCCTGTTTCTGTACAGTCCATGAGTTAAGAATGTTTTTTATATTTTTAAATTGCCAAAAATGTCAAGAAACAGCCTTCTTTTGTGACACATGAAAATAATATAAAATTCAACTTTTAGTATCCATAGATAAAGTTTTATTGGAATGCAGCCACGCCTGCTTATTTATGTATTGTCTATGACTGCTTTCAAACTATAAGGTCAGAGTTAAGTAGTTGTGACAGGGACCTTCTGGTCCCCAAAGCCCAAGATATTTACTATCTGGCCCTTTGCAGAAGGAGTTTTCTGGCCTCTATATTCAAGCAAGGTGGGCAAGATAAGAACTATGTGAGTGTGTGTGCACGCACACGTGTGTGTATGTGCTACGCCTTAGGCCAGAACTTCTGGGTGGATGGTGAGTATGGTAAACAAAATAATGGCCTCTTCAAAGATGTCCTAGTGTTTAAGTTTTAATTTCTGGAACGTATGAATATATCACCTTTTATTCAAAAGAATTTTTTAACTTTGTGATTAAGGCTATTGAAATGGAGATTATCCTGGATGACCTGGGTGCACCTGGTGTCATCACAAGGGTCCTTATAAGGAGGAGGAAGGAGGTCAGAGAGGAGAAGAGATGATACATATACTGTTGGCTTTGAAGAGAAAGAAAGAAACCTAGAACCATGGAATGCAGGCAGCCTCTAGAAGCTAGAAAAGATAAAGAAACAGATTTTCCTCTAGGGCTTCTAGAAGAAACCATTTAAGACTTCTGACCTCCCAAACTGTAAGAGAATATATTTATTTTGTTTTGAGCTACTAAGTTTGTGGTGATTTGTTATATCAGCAATAGGAAACCAGTACAGCGGTCCATTCAGGAATCTGGAATTTCTTCCGGCCAAGTGGTATTGGTATCAGCCCTAGTGTTGCTGTAGGAATCTGATGGGTAACCTGGCCCTGTGATTATCCAGCTCACAAAGCCCCCAACTCCACTGTCTAATGCTTTCCCTCAGCCTTCTGTGGCTCTAGCCACAGCTCTACCCTCCAGGGCAGCCTCAGTATTGCCCAAAACCTAGGGGATGGGTGGTAGGCATGCTCGAAATGTCACACTGAGAGAACTTATTTTGGCCTCAAAATATCTTGGGCATTTCTGCTTTTTCTCCACCCAGGTGAAGTTCCTTCTCAGAGAAATGAGGAAGGATATGATTGTGGTCCCAGTGTTGAGAAAGTGGGGATGTCTTCAAATTTATTTGGTTTCAAACTTATTGTTTTTCCTTTCCTGATTAGGAGAGAAATTTGAGGCCAGTAGAGTGGAGCTTGGACAATATTTACTGCAGCTTTTTCTGCCTGTAACCTAGACAGTGAAGTGAGAGGAGTCCTCTTAACTGAAGATCAGAGGTTTCTCTCCTCTAGGGATGGTAAATAGCTTATAAACAGCATGATGCTTCCAGCAAGATTGATGTTTATATACAGATGATGTATCATAGAATTGTACACTTGAAACCTATATCTTATTAACCAATGTTACCCCAATAAATTTAAATAAGTAAATCTTAAAAAAGTGAAACCATTTCAAAGCAAATATATTGCTGTCACACTTCTTAACGATGAAAGACTTAATATTTTACTTTTCTCTTTGAGAATATGAAACATCCCTGTCTTTAAGTTATTTCAAATACTTTAAAACATTATTCAAACAACTATATTAATAATATAAATGGATAGTATGAAAATGATTAATGCATTGAAAAGTCATTAATTAATCTAAGTCTGTTAAGCTTTTCTTAAAAGTGTATGAGAATAGTTATTCTCACCAGAGTGTTGGAAGAATTCAATGAGATAAAACAGGTAAAGCACCTGACACATTATATGGCCTACTAGAAATACCTAAAAAACAATATCCTTCATATCGTCCTTTATGAAAAGCAATTAATCATGCAAATTTAGTTATTTCTATTATTCCCCCAACATTGTATTACCTTATATTAGTTTTCTTAAGTTCCATAAAATTGTTTGTCTTCATACCAGAGCCCCAAGGTAAATAAAGCTGGTATTGATATCCCACTTAAATGACTTAAAAGTTTTATATCTTATTTTTAAATTCACAAATTATACAACTACACATTTGATTGTTAAAAATATTCCTTTTAACTACAGACTGATATCCCTAGTGATACAGATACAAAAATTTTCAATAAAATACTGGCAAACCAAGTTTAGCAGTACATCGAAAGGATCATTCACCATGGTCCAGTAGGATTTACCCCTGGGATGCAAGAATGGTTCAGCATATGTGAATAAATCAATATGACACATCAACACAGGACTCTGCTATCTGTTCGTAACAGTTTGGATGAAATAGCATAAGTCACTTTTGATACTGAGCCCAATGGCATCCTCAGTGGCTCTGCTGTGGATAAGAGTACAGGAACAGAAGACAAGATCACCATTACTAAGGACAAGTGTCATCTGAGCTAGGAGGACATTAAGCGCTTGGTCCAGGAAGCTGAGAAGTGCAAAGCTGAAGGCAAGAAGCAGCGGGGTAAGGTGTCTTCCAAGAAGTCACTTGGATCCTATGCATTCAACATGAAAGCAACTGTTGAAGATGAAAAACTTCATGGCGAGATCAATGATGACAACAAACAGAAGATTCTTGACAAAGTGCGATGAAATCAACTGGCTCGATAAGAACCAGACTGCAGAAAAGGAAGCATCTGAACATCAGTAGAAAGAGTTGGAAAAAGTCTGCAACCCCATCATTACCAAGCTGTTCCAGAGTGCAGAAGGCATGCCAGGAGGAATGGCTGGGGGCTTCCCTGGTGGTGCAGCCCCCCATCTAGTGGCGCCTCCTCTGGGCCCACCATTAAAGAGGTTGATTAAGCCAACCTTGAACATTGACTTAGCATTGTTCCATACAAAATATTGAAGGACCTAAATTTGTAGCAAATTCCATGGCAGTTTTAAAAGTTATATAGTAAATAACTGGGCATTCTTGACACTTGAATATGGACTATATATGCACAGAGAAAGGAAATAATGCACTTTATAAGCACTGTATTGTAAAGTGGGAAATGTAATGTCTTAAATAAAACTATTTAAAATTGACAAAAAATGGCAGAGGACCTGAACGGACTTCTGCAAGGAAGACGTACAAATGGCCAAAGTATAAAAAGATGCTCAACTTTACTATCTGTTAGGAAAATGCAAATCAACACTACAATGAGATGCCACCTCACAGCCATCAGAGTGGCTATTATCAACAAGACAAGCAATAACAAGTGTTGGAGAGGTTGTGGAGAAAAAGAAACCCTCACTCACTGATGGTGGGAATGTAAACTGGTACAGCCACCTGGCAAAACAGTATGGAGGCTCCTCAAAAAATTAAGAATAAAGTTACCATATGACCCAGCAACCCCTCTTCTAGGTATCTACTCAAAAATTTTGAAAATATTTATTTGCAAAGATATATGCACCTCTGCAAACTCTGCCAGACTTTCATGTGTCCACTGTTTGCCTCAACTCTGATCTGTCTCAAACCTCAGCATTTTATTTATTAGCCGTCAACGCTTTCAAAATATCCTCATTGTAGTCACTTCTCCCCTCTAAGAGATTCCAGCGTACACACAACACAGGTACACCTGCTACATCACTCCTTCAGACAACTGTTAGGTCAGAAAACAAACACATTTCCTTGGGAAAATTGTTTCATTGTCTTCCAAAATCAAGAAGCCTCATGAGGAATTTGAGCAGCCATCTTCATGAACTCCACAGGACCAGGATAGATGATGGGATAAGGGTACTTTAAATAGCTACAAAGCTCTCCCGCTATATATATATATTTAAATATATCTTTATTGATTTCAGAGAAGAAAGGAGAGGAAGAGAGAAAGATAGAAACATCAGTGATGAGAGAGTCACTGATCTGCTGCCTGCTGCATGCCCCCGACTGGGGATCGAGCCCACAACCCGGGCATGTGCCCTGACTGGGAATCGAACCGCAATCTCCTGGATCCTAGGTCAGTGCTCAACCGTTGAGCTACGCCTGGCTGGGCTCTCCCACTATATTTAAATCACCTTTTTCCTGGTCAATCATATATTTTTGGTTTCTGTAAACCCTTGAGTGTCTTCCAGAGTTCCAATAAGGTTGATTCTGATTATGTTTTCAGACTGTTTTGGTGGTATTTCTGGTAAGCAACTGCCACCTCCCCCATGTTTTCCTACTCTATGATTCTCTCTAATCAATAATTTTTAAAGATAACATTTTATTATTTTTGGCCCCACAATCATTTCTCACCTTTCATCTACTCTTCCCCGTGCCCTTCTAGTACTCCTCATTTCCACTGGATTTTCACAGTGGCAGGAGTCTGTATCAAACATCGTCCCAGGATGACCTTTCCACAGATGAAATTTGCATTCTGCTTTTCCTCTCCTTGCTCCAGAGAGCTAAGTCTCTTAAGGAGAAGAGAGACAGAAGGCTTTGTCATTCATGAGACTCATGGGAATTCAGCCTCTAAAACCACAGAAACTAAATGCTTCTGCTTTACCCATGAAAGTCTACTCTCCTAATCTAAGGTCCTGAGAATACACAACTGGGTGATGTCTTTAGCTTCGTGTGAAACTGCCAAACTGCGTTTCGCTAT